GGCGCCCGGGAGTGTGGGACGGGACAGGAGCGAGAGCCGGGACCAGGACCGGGACGGAGACAGAGACTGGGAGGGGAACGGGGACAGGGATCAGGACAGGGACGGGGACCGGGACGAGAGCAGGGACCAGGGCCAGGATGGAGACAGGGACTGAGAAAGGAACGGAGACGGAGACAGGGACCAGGATAGGGATGGGGACAGCGACAGGGATGGGGATTGAGGCAGGGACTTGGACTAGAAAAGGGACGGGGACCGGCACTGGCACCGGGAGGGGATGGGGAAGACAGCAGGAACGAGGACCGGGCTGGGGACCGAGGCAGGGCCTGGGACCAGAACAGAGACTGGGACCAGCACTGGGAGAAGAACAGGGATGGGGACCAGCACCGCGATGGGGACCAGCACTGGGAGCAGGAACAGGACAGGGACAGGGACAGGGACAGGGACTGGGACAGCGATAGGGATGGAGACGGGAATGGGAGGGACAGGGACAAGAGCCGGGGTAGAGATGAGGACCAGGACCGGGATCGACACTGAGACAGGCACCAGGACAGAGATGAGGACAGGGAGCAGCACTGAGATAGAGATTGGGACTGGGACAGACACCAGGACAGGGCCCGGGACAGGCACCAGGACAGGGCCCAGGACAGGGAGAGAAGGTCTCAGACACCGCTGGGTGCTGGGACAGGGATGTACACTGGGACCCAGAAAGGGACCAGCACTGGGACAAGGACAGCACCAGGCACATGGGACATGGCCCCACATCGCCTGCCATGACCCTGCTTCCCCATGGATGCAGGGGCACATGGGGGTACCATGGGGCACAGGAACACGTGCACATGGGGACACAGCCACGGGTGTACAGGGACACACGCGGCCTAGCACGCATGGCCACTCCCCACCTGCAAACCCTTCCACCACGGCACACACGTGGGCACACACCAACACCCGAGTACCCCAAAATCCAGCTGCTGTCCCCCCCCAGCCTGACAGTCCCCAATAGTCCCTGTCCCAGCAGGTGCCAGGCAGCCCCACCGGTGCCATGGTCCTGGCCCTGCTCCGGCCACGTGTGCCCAGCATGTGTGCTGGTGGGGGGATTTGCCGGGAGGATTAGCCGCTGCGCGGGCCCTGGCGTTGACCTGCTTTTGGTGGGGGCCACGCTGGGGACAGGGACTTGGTGCTGTGACATCCTGGCTCACACGGCTGCCAGATGCCTGCGGGACAGGTCCGGCTGTGTCCCTGGTGTCCCTTGCGTCCAAACCGTGTCGCAATTGCAGAGGTTTAGTCGCAGGGTGGGCAGGGCCCCACTGTCCAGTGCCAGCAGTCAGAGCCAGTTTAACCGCTCGGCAAAGCTCCTCTATGGCGTGGGTTCGGCCTGGCCGGCTCTGGGGCCCAGCCAGGAACGATGGTCACTGATGGCAGGGTCCTGCACGGCTTCGGTAGAGGAGCCCAAAATGGGAGTGTGGGGAGTTGTTGCTGTGAGCGCTGCCCCACAGAGGGGACGCGGCTATGGGACCTATGTCGAGGGGCACCCATGGGGTGTGAGTGGTTCTGGGGGATGACTGGAGGTCCACGGGACATGTACGTCTTCATGGCACACGTGTGTCTCCATGAGACGCATTTGTCTCCATGGGACATGGATGGCTCCAAGGGACACTTATGGCTCCATAGGACGTGCATAGAGACATATGGGACATCCATAGGTCCACGGGAAACAGACAGCTCTGTGGGACATCCATGGCTCCATGGGGCCTATATGGTTTCATAGGACATTCATGGCTCCAAGGGACATCCACAGCTCCAAGAGACTTGCATGGCTTCATGGAATACGTGTGGCTCCATGGGACATCCACAGGGCCGTGGGACACAGATGCCCCCATAGGACATGTACAGCTCCATGGGACATGGATGGCTCCACAGGACATAGGTGGTTTTGTGACACATGCACGGCTCCACGTGTTACACGCAGCACTCCTAGGAGGGGACAGTGGGGACTAGGGAACCTTTCCCTGCTCGGGACCCCAGCTGGGGCAGGTCTGTGGGTGCCAGGGCCGGGGCTGTGGGACCCCTACTGGGACCCCTTCTCCTGGCCAGGACCCCCATTCCTGGCTGGAGTCCCCCTCTTGGGGATGCCCCCCCCCATCCCTGGGGAGCAAAGGCCATCGTAGGTGAACTGGCAGTGGGAGGGTGAGTGCAGTGTCCCTGGGGCCTCTGCCCTGTCCCTGTCCCCTGTTCCTGGCACCCTGCCCCAGACCCTTACCCCTGATCTCCAGCCCCTGTGCCTGAGCCATCACCCTGTCCCCATCTCTTGTCCCTGTCCCCATCTCCACCTCTGTCCTGTGTCCCCATCTCTATCCCTTCTTCTTAACGCTTGCCTCCATGTCATTATTGCC